GTGTAGTATCATCTCTGACTACCGCACCTTGTGAATCGCATACGTCAAGTCTGATTAAGCTCAGACATACCACTGATTTTCCTAGCCCTGTACATACGGCAAACGATCTGCTCGGCTGTCGACAGGGAAGCTGTTTCAACCAATCGTTAGGCAGACCTAATCGCATGCATGTGGAAGTTGTAGATAGCGTAAGCTAAGCAAATTAGGCCGATGAAACCCAATTTGAGTGCTATTAGTCCGTTCCACCTTGAAGAGTGAAGTACACGGGATTCATTATGTGCTTAGCTAGAGAGCCCATAAGACGACCAGCAACCAACAACGGAGTAGTGCTTGCTGCTGTCCTTTAGCGTGCGGTGCTAATCGCGAGACAGGTTTGACTACGAAATGGAGCATAGAAAACCGCAAGATACACCGCAATTGCCGTATAGGCTTTGCGCAACAAATAACTGTGTGCAAAGTGCAGATGAAGTGAAAAAGTGTTACTTCAGAGCGCTTACGTCCAACAATTCTATCGACTCTGTTCTGTTCGTATTCATCATAACTAGATTAGACTTTATCAATTTGTGGTTGTATGCTCACGAATTACGAAAACGAAATTTTGGTAGCATCACCGTGCCCGTAAGACAGTCGGCCACTTTTGTCCGCCTGTGATATCAAGATCGTCCATAAGCTCTGATGTGACAATTTCAGGGAACGCTGTTGCACATGCAAGATGACATATTCCTTCGAAGCATAATCCCACTTGTGGACGATGAACCTCTTGGCTAAAAAATCAATGATCATATCTTGCAGCCACTCCGTTCCCGAAGGATCTATCGTACTCAACAATGAACATGTTTGCATACAGCAGTTTCCGGTGCTCATCTACCTACAACTTCTCTGGACAAACGCAGTACTGAATAGCGCGTGCCAAGCATCTGTGGTTAATACATCCAACACAATCCACGCAAGAGTTGAGCTTCCTAAGCTGCTCAACCGCCCCAGTCCTGAGTAATGTAACATAAGATACCGTAAGATGAGAAAGAGCGACAGAATTGTTCTGCAGATTTCGTTTAGTTAACATCCAATTGCTAAGTAGTCTGCAATGAATTATCGAGGGTTGCAGGAAACCTCGACTCGAACCAGTTTGGATGCGACGATTGAAGCATAACTTGTAGTTGTTTTACATTCTGTCATACACTCGAACTGTAACACAGTCCAATTTGAGGACTTTGCAACAAAGAGTATACACTGATTATACTAAAGGTTAAAACAAGCATGCGCTCCAATTTCTTCCTGGTCAGATTTACCTACATGTAGAGTAAACTGTCAATGTGGCAAACTCGAAAGTTACTTTGCCGTGAATAAGATTGCGAGTATAGTAATATGGGAAAAATAACTCCATGAACAATTTCAACGGCAGAGACCCAAGAACGTACAAAAGACTCAAGTTTCCAAACGTTGGCTAACGTCTCAACTATGCACTAAATCGCTACTATGTGGATCGCACATATGCATATCGCCAACGCAAGAGCACGATTACTTATGTACCAATTGATCTCTTCCGTTAAAGACACAGGTAATCAGATAATAAGAAATATACGTATTGTTATTACCATTATGTGCTGACTGAAAAGGGACAGTATACGCAGCCCTAGTGGAAACCACCTCCACAGTCGCAAAATGATCGACAGTTCTTGCAGATCGAGTAGCAAAGGTGACAACGCCGGTTCGAAGTGATAGCTCAATACTGAGCAGGAGGATGATTTCCAGGTACTTGATGTGTGGATGGATTGCGACGCGCAAGTTCAATACTGAGCCGTTAAGTTACGTAATCCTTGATGTTGGATGAAAACCATAAACTTAGCTGTCGCAGAGAAAAAAGAAATTGATGTAAAATATCGAAATTATTTTACCTGACTGCTTTGACATCACATACTGGTCCGGTCGGAGATGGACGCCCTTGGGCTACTAGGTATCACCAAAGAGGAACGTTTACACCAACAACGGGAGCCTACTCTCCGCAGATACACCGGATGCACGAAAGTGATTTGAGTGATAAATTACATGAAAACAGACCGCATAAAAATCCAAGGGGGTAAGCGGAAAAATAAGCACGCGAACGAGCCAGAGTTTGCTTATTCATGTAGCCTTAATGAGCACAAGCCTGCCTTGTAATCCGACGGCGCGGATTCGAGCTTGCGTAGGGACCGCGCAACCCTCGCAGTATCCAAGTGAGTGATTGTGGCTGCGCGGCAGCGAAACGTCGGCACTGCGTACTGGGGTACTGTTGATGGATTTTTTATTCTTGTAGGTGGTCCATGAGAACCAGGTTGGGACGCAGACAGGTCCGTGATGCCCACCGAAGTTCGTACGTGTCAAAATTAAATAGTTTTTAAAAAAGCGAACCGTCATGTGAAATCCGTGGTCCATGTGCACTATAGCAATAAAAACGCATGAAGAGAAGGTGTTGAGTTAAGACGTTACTTGCACCAAAAAACAAACAGCTCTCGAACGTTGCTTGCCACACCGTTGACGGTAACTGTGATTCGTGATTAGGAAATGGTTGCATCAGTGCTGCTCTCCGGAGTTGTCTGTTGAGAAGAGGAGCACTTGAAAAGTATGTCAACATTCTTCAGGCCATCAATGCTCGAGTTTCGGTTCGAACACGCATATATGGCGACGTGAGACAGGACTGTTCAAAATCACCCTGTTCAATTTCGCTATGGACGACATCCTGGAGTGCTCCAGAAACTGCGAAACCAGGGGCGTTGAGCTGCTTCCGGAAGACCGGCAATCGTAGAAAGTCGTCCGGGCCATGCGACATGTCTCGCATAAGCAGCACCAATTGGTGTTGGAGTTGATTGGGCGAGTTGTCACTTCAACATCCCAAGTGGGTTTAGGTGACAAAATCGGTAATTCCGATACACCTGATCGGGTAAACTGCCCTCCAAATGCCTGGCCCAGCGTTCTAATCGCTTTGGTGGGCATTGAGGGTTCAGTCCGACTTTGTCGGCTACTGCGTACGAGTGGGGCACTTAATATTGTGGTTGATGCAATCAACAGAACGCAGATTACAAAAAAATCGTGCCTCTGGACGATAACATTTTCTTCGGAACGGCAATAATGCAAGCGCTGTAATGCAGCGATGAGATGTCAAGTAAGTACCCGCTATCAGAAGGTGGCATAAGCTGCTGACCACAAGTAGAGCCGTTATGGATTTGAATTCCGGAGAATTCGCTGCTGATCGGTCCCCAAGTGGAGTGATACGGTGATCAAACGCTTTCCGGGTGGTAGCGACCGTGCGGCTGATAGTGGCATCAATGACAAAACCAATTGGAATCCCGCACTTCTGTTGAATCCAACCGAGTTTGACGTTAGGAAATTTTATCGTCTTGCTGCTACACTTAGTGTGCAAATTGTTGCCGACTACTGGAGTATTATTCCCGGTCTACGTACTCCACAATGTAGGGAGATTTGCCCAACGCAAGTCGAATTCTTAAACAACTTGGTGACCTTCGGTTTCACCGTTTATGCAACTGAAAAATGGACGATGAGATTGAGCTACCATCAGTAAGCATATAAAGGACATGGTGTTCTATCAGTAAGGGGTAGGATCATTTGCGCCAGTAGACATGTATTGACTTCCGACGTCAGGGGTACACAAAAGCGCCTAGATTGGTTGCCTACGCCGTCAGCGATCAGAACTACTGCCCCAACACACATACCATAACCACAGCACAAAGATTAGTGTTGGAGGATCCACATCAGTGCGTAGCAGCTAGGGTCTCTACGCTGACTAAATACACTGGGAGGTAAGTATCCAAGTAAGAGACACCAGGACTAGTCATTGGTTCACTACGCGGACTGATTGGGTCCTCATGACCAAGCAGAGTCGCTGCAGACGTTCAGCTGATCGCTAGCATTGCATCGAGCTGAATCAAAACTATGGCTTATAAGCGTCGGCTCATGTCGCACCTGAACAAGAGTTAACTCGTAGGGCGATGTCTGACGTCGTGTGTAGATCATGAGTAGGTCTTTGTGTAAGTAAGTTATAGTCTTGGTTTAAACGTCACTTGGGAATGGTCATTTCGCTTGTGACTCTGACAGACCTTAAAGACACAGCGATGTGTTGATTAACCATGTTGATCACAATCCCTCCTGAAAACTGCTACTTAGTCCAACCTAAGAATTTTACTTTCAGTGTAATGATGCTCTACCAAAATTTAAGCTAGTAGATAGCACGGACATCAGAGATTTAATTCCATCAGCTGTATTGAACAGAGAAATGTGACCAGTATTTTGTAGGTGTCAGTGCTGAGGATACAAGCACGTTACTTCTTGCCTGAGCTATAAACTAATCATTGACATGTGCTTGATGCCTATCCCGAGCGACGTATCAAGTCTGATTGAAACTGATGCGAACGTTGGGTAAGGTAGCCATTCCTTTGATGCAAAGCATTCTCGACAATGACTAACTCGAGAGCGGTCCCACAATGAAGGGGGCTGTGACGGGTGCATAGCCCTGATATGTTTGGTTTTCAAGCTTTACATCAGCGAGGTGAGTGTCAAAAGAGTGGGGGTAGGCTCGGAAACAATGGTGGATCATAACTGCATACCTTCTAGTCTCATTCGCATGAATCTACACTGGATACGGAGCGTGTGTTGATAGTGCAGTGCAAGCCATCTATGTTCCCGTTGATGTCTCGCAAACGGATGGGCCTTGTGACTGTTCGCAGCCGCAGCGACAGGCAAACCAGGGAACATGTGCAGCTAAACATACCACTGAGGTTCCGAAGTGCGGACGGAGGTAATGAAGATCAGAATACTGGTGTGAGACAACACTCAGTGGTAAGGAAACACTCAAAGTTGGCTCAACCCAAGACCGCACTTTAAAACAGTGAACATCCGATGCTGCTAAATATCAAAGTTTGAATGACAGAATCACGGATAGACGCAGTCGTGTTCATAAAATAAAGAAAACAGAATCCTAAAGTATAGGGTAACTAGTTTTGTGTTACCTTTGGTAGCCAGTCACCTGAATCGGAATTGGAGGCACCTGGTTGAGCACAATCATTGTCAGCATCCAGATCCGAATTTGAGGACAGTGAAGACAAGCTTCTCGATGAGTGAGAACCGGAAACTGAAGTAAGGGGCCTCTTTGCAGAACCTCTCAAGATATTGGTGTGGTTTTTTGGAGGACGACCAACACCCCTTTTTCCTCGAACACCCCTAGCGGATGACCGCTTTGGAGTCATTGTTGATGTTCGACTAGTATGTCTTACAAGGGACTCATGCTTTTTAGTCAGGGTGAATAAATCTGATGTGATGGAGGTGTTAGAACGAGGGCCAATACCAACGGCTGCTGCCATTGCCGCTTTAGTCTCTGCGAGAGCTGATATTGCAGCAGCCCCAGGGGTACCCGGTTGAACAATGGGCATAGTGAGCTTGGTTCGATACTTCCTTTTGTCATTGTAATGGGGCCCAGAATGTGCATCAGCTCCGAGGCTGTGGGTTTTATGAGCCACAGTGGCAAGTTGTGCATGGGAAAAACGAGACGAAGAAGAGAGTGGTTTTGGTGAAGGCGCATCGTTCGTCGGGGTAGCGCTGGTCGTTGTCTGATGGCTACTGGAAGAAGGATTACGTCTAGAAAGAGGAAAGGGATGAAAATGACAGGAGATCATCAAGTATTGGGAAATGAACTCGTTCGGTAACGACCGGTGCAAAAAGCCCTGTAGATTCGGCTATGAAAAAACCCAATATTTTTCTAAAAAGGTCGAGATTTCGTAAAATTCTGAATGCAATTTATAACTGTTTGATATCTAAAGAGATCGATAGCCTACGAAGCACTGTTGCTTGTCTGCTGAGCATCTGAACAGTCGGAGACACGGTGTGTTGATTGCCCATAGAGGTGGGGTCAGTAGAATTGGTGTTCAAAAAGCGTGGTAGATCAGCTCTGGTCCGCCATAACTCCATATTAATTTCGGCTTTATCACAGCTAGACTTCCGTCTCTGTTCCCAGGAACTTGATCAAGATCACAAAATAAAAGAGCTGCTTTGCCAGGAATGACTAAATCGAAGGGTATTTCTAGATCGAATTGGTATCATAATCACATTAGCTATATTAATCAACGCCCGCCATCCCTCTCTACCATACATTGGATTCCGTTCGAGATTAATGTGTCAAACGGTGACCGAAACAACGTCAGTTGGTTTATAGTCATCGACCAACTAGTCGAATGACCGGAGAACCGAATCGCGATCCTCCAGTTGTGACTTCCGCCAAAAAGCTATAAGGCACTGATTGTTATTCTAGTTCCAAGTATATGGACTTCAACTTCGTAGCCGAGGACCATCATATCAATCTCCAGAATGCACGAGCGACCGATCCAGTAGATGACGCTTGATGTTTCGATCAGTCAGTAGTATGAAACGAGCAATACTTCAGTGCGAATGGATCCATTTTGTTGTGAAAACGACCGACACGGTTATGGAGCAGAGAAATGACCAAGAAGCAATGAGAGAACGATGAGCATTTGGTGTCTATGGGTATCATGGCTGCCAATTTTCAAGCATAATTTGAGACGGTAAACATTTCTGTTGGCCACTGAGTTCAGATGACGTTCGTATCAATGTGAATGTTATCAAAGTCCCACCGGTAGCTAGTGTACTCCTTGATGTTAAAATGACGACGAGATAACATCGGTTGTGATCCGCAGCATACTACTTTGCGCATGCAACACTAGCAGGTCACAAAGTAGTCAGTCGGAAGATGAGAAGTTCGACGTAAAGAAAACCACTGTGAAAATAGCATGTGATTACAGCAAGTCGCACTATGGCAGTACTTTATCGGGGGACCAAAGAGATGTCAAACAAGTGTGATATGACGAAGGAGCCGAATGTTTGGCATCCAGTACCAGAAATCCTGTTTCCTAGGACGATATGCGACCAATTGTGAAGACACCTCGATACCAAACTGGTATTTCTATACGATCGTGGTAACCACGTGTGCTCGATTCGGTGCAATCACGTCCCAATGAGAACCGATAACGAATAGACCAGCTGTACAACCTAAACATATAGGAATGTATGCACAAGAATATGTGGAAGGGCGAATACAGTCAATACGGCACCAACAACACCAATAGTTACACAGGCACTATCAATAAGACGTGTCAGAGTTCAAAGCAAGTCTAATAATCGCGTGTTACATGGCTGACAACTATGACCGTTGCGTTATGACGAGTGAACACTTAGTAGAAGTGCTTCATACCTGCGTTTGGTCCGTCTGTGGGATGTGGACGAAGATCGAGGGCTGTCAGCTCGATGATGTCGGTGACAGTGGTTTAAACTGCTCCGACGTGGACCAAGATAAAATTCGTCGGAATAGTCCTCATCAGAGGGAGGGAGGTCACTCTCACCAGAGGAGTGAGTGTAATAGCCACTGTCAATATTTGCCTGCAATTTGCTGACCTCATTCCAGGCTCGTTCAAATCCGCCCCCGGCAACAGCACCCGTAGCGCTACTTCGACGAAGGACCCCGAGTTCGTCCGCGGGTATGTGGAAGGGACGCGTATTATATTTCTTTACGAGCGCTCGTTCATGTGTTCCACCAAAGAATCGGATCTGATAATTGAGTACAAGTACAACGGAGCAGCTTAATTGGTTGGCGTACACATGAGAAACATTAAGTCCAGGAGGAATATTGATGCGGTGTGGTCTACCACAAAAGTGGCAGCAAGATGGGGCAATAATGTGAAAATCAAGACATTGTGTAAATCCATTGTTGCCCCGATATGACAAATCTGATGCAGGTGGACAAGCCAGGAGCCCCTTTCCCTCGCGGAGCAAAAGCTGAGGTAGTGATCATGGCAAGCCGCAGTGCATTAAAATTGGTGAGTGCAAACTAGTTCCTGTGCATTGTAGCGATGTAAACTACTCGAACAAAGCTGAGATAGAGATTTTCAGCAGACAAATGAGTAAGAGAAAGTTACGATCATAAAATACCATCCAACACAGAAACGGGCGGTCTTCAAGGTCATTCATCCGCCCGCGTGCAGCATTTGTGGCACAGAGCAAAGACGGCAATATGTTACCGCAAGTCAACATCAAGCGTGCATGAGGTAAATCGTAGCAGTCACGTTTGCACAAGAGGAGCGTTGCGCAAGTGGTGCCTGCCGCTGGCTGCCACAATGACACGGGAGGCAGACACCGATAATTAACGATGAGCCATCATCTCTCGTATGATGAGCGATAAACAGTAGCCATATGTAAGATCCTACTAAGCCACAATGAAAGCCGAAATTGAGAAAGGAATTATTAAACCAGCATAGTGCCAGTCATATCCAGCTGGTGTATGGCGCCGCACTGAGGTACATTTATTGAACAAATCCTAACTTTAATAAAATACGTCACTCTGCTATCTAAACATTTAAGATCCAAAATCGTACTTTACGACAAAACAGTAGCAAGTTAGAAGTTTGCGATTCGACAAATTCACCTTGACAACCTAAAACTTCGCCATCGGCATACACTTAGTTAAATCGGGAAGCAGAAATGTAGATATCATCATCAGTGCACGTTGGCTGAAGGTGAGAAACATCTCAGGTATTATGCCGCAATACAAAAACAGCTACGAAAAAATATGATAATAAACACTACGGAATAAAAAATAAAAACACTATATATCCTAGTATATTATGCATCGCGTAGCACATCGTGGCTAGAGGACGAACCTAAGCGGGAGGGGGATGGACAAAGAAACTCACAAGACAATTGCCATTGAGGTTGGCTCTTGCCACGTCAAATAGCGTATTTAATCAAACGTGTTCGTCGTCCTTGGGACCCCAGCCAGACAATCGGGAGTCACCAACAGACACCAAGCGAAGGCCTTCATGCCACTTGACCAAGTCAACGCTTGGCCCCCCTCTTCCTCTCCAATCCACACCCCGGGTGTGCAAAAACCGCAAGACGAGGGAGTCGGTGTGCTGGCATGCGCAACACGTGAATTAGCCATCGGAGCTTTGGGCGATATTACGGCGTTGAGCGGTTCACTCGCTCTTCCTGCACCAAATACACGACGCCGAACATATTCATTGCTCAGGTGGTGCTCCCACCAGACATGGGCTAAGCTGCGAAGGCAGCAACGATCAACGCAGGTATGCTCGTTACATCTGTCGATATGATGGGCTAGGTTTCGTAGCCGTACAAAAGGGTTAATCAAACGGCTGCGTTGTAAAAACTGCCCTTCGTGGTGAGAGTGATGTCGCTTCATCGCATAGGAGGCGGGGATTGGAAAAAGCGCCTCGAGTCTTCGCAGTACGATTGGTGATCTTATCTTCGGCCCTACGGTCACTAATATAGCTGACCAGATACTTGAATTTCTGAACGACTCATAGTTGATATCCTCAAACGATCAGTGGAGATGTTGGTCCTTCCCAATCTTGGAGGACTTGGTATTTCAAGGGTGCGAAGGATAGCCCGAAATGATTGACAACTAGTACTAACTTGCGCAGCGTTGTTTGATACGTATGGGAGCTGTCACAAATAAGGGCAATATCTTTAGAGTACTCCAAGTCAAGAAGTCAGTCACCAGAGAGCAGCTTCACACATTGTACATCGTAACCAATGGAGGCAGTTTCCATAACTTCGGTAATAGAATGGTGGCAGCGGGCATGCCTGTTTTACACCGCTGCAGCTACGGAACTGCGACAACAATTTGCCATAATCCCTCAATCTGCCCGAAGTATGTGCGTACAGCGCTCTTATGACCTCAACATTTTTATCGGGAACACCTTTCCTGAACAGACAGTCCCAAAAGGCACCCTTGATGTCGAGGAACAAGATAACAGCGAATTCCCAAAAATATGGCGCTGGTGGCTTTACCAGGTAAAGTCAAGTAAAGAATGTGCTTTATGAATCCTTAAGGTATGGAGGTAGATATACTAAATTGTTAACATCTTCCCTAAAGATGGCCTCGAAGGAGAATAGCTGAAAAGGCCTGGTACACTTAAACTTCTAACAGTGATGTTTGCAAACAATGTACTACGGTAGATGGTACAATCGAATTATTGATGTGCAACGAATAGGAAGGCTCCCATAACTATCGAATGACAAGAGAACACATTTTGAGGGGTTGCGCAAGTCAAACATTCCCATCGAGAGGGAACAAAGAACAGACATAGTAGAGGGGTCATTACCCAGTCACATACCGGTGGCGCCTAAGGTCTATAGAGTGTATGGGTTTCTGGCACGAATAGGATCACATAGATTCGCCAGTAGTACCGCATAGAGGCGGGTTACTCGGCCTAAGCTATATGCTTGCTAGCTGAAAGCAGAAGTGAAGCTGCATCCTGCAATCAACCACACTCTAGGACACTTATCAAATGATTGTAAGCTGATATTAATTTCAGCTGGGTAGATCCTGGATAGCTGACTGCTCAATAGGGTAGTCCATTACGCAACCTTTTCTTTCTATGAGCAAGGAAGCGATGAGATAACTCGTAAAAAACGATAGTGAATAGGATCGCAGCGAACAGAGCACGGAGTAGGATACAAATTGAAATCACTATTCAAATTTGCCACTGAGTGCCAGCAGCAGTCAGGAATATCTACAACGGATAGACCAAACAGCAGTTATCCGTACAAAGTATACAGTTTAGAAGGGCTCTCAGCACATCACCAGTATTCGCAAGGACTCCGCTTCTGTGCAACCACAAGTAACTAGACCAGGGCTGATGTACTGCAGGCGCACCCAAACTTACACAGGAATGAGGATCAGAAGGGGCGCAAAGGCTCGGAAAAAACCACTACAGACTTCTACAGGGTGTAGGTACAATCAAAAGGAAAACTTCTCGAACTTCAGTTGGTCACAGTAAGTCGAAAGGAACTGGCCAATGCCCTAGGCAACCGTAAGAAAAATCTCCACACTTCAGAAATCAATGCCACATATAAATTAAGACATAATGGGTCGACGTATCATAGGAACGATAACAGGGAAAATGGTATAATCGTGCATGAATGCATGAGGGACTATTAAGTTTGCGTTGGAAACTGTGCCTTGGGATCTCGTAAGACGACATCGAGACCATGTTAGAGGAGATGAAAAACTGCCACATAGGAAGAAAGCGCGCAATTAACTCCGCTATCGCAATGAAGCAGTTAAGACCTCCCAAACCCCAATTTATAAAGAAACAATCGAAGGAATGAATGGGTGTCTGGAAAACACGTATCCAACTGCTTTGCGTGTGCTCGTGCATTAAGATCATAACAATTAAAGAGCAGTTAAAACAATAACAATATTCCACCAGATCACGGCAATGGCATGCGGTGGATGCCATTCGCATGACTTACGTCCCGGTAAATATTCAGTTCAGTTAAGGAAGTATGATCAGGGCACAGAAGTGTGGTATCTCTAGTTGCCACGGCTTAAATCACCAGAATAACGGCAAGAAAATGAGGTTGAATGCAAATAAAATGTGAAAAATGTGACCGAGAAAATGCCTTAACTAATCATGATGGCTTGTGGATTTTTGTGAGAGGTGAGATGAAAATTAACAGTTAGCTGAAAGAAACCGAATGCAAGAATGCCACTGAATGCGCGACTGCGCCGTCTGGAAAGGCCTCTAACCATAAGTGTGGGCCACCCGGAGGCCCCCCTTCACGAAGACGGCATGCGCCAAGCTGACTAAGTCATTGACGAGGTATGTATTGTAAATGCACACCTATTAATTTGCAAAAAGTCATGTTATCTCGGTTCCGGCTTTGCTTTTGACTTGATCCCAGTGGAAACGCGTCCCTTGAACCCTCCAAGAAAATTTCGTCTGTTCCAGACATGAATTAGTCAACATAAGCGGTCAAGATTCAGCACGCATTCGAGCGAGGCACTAGAAGCTTTATTGTCAAAAACTAACTGACGGACCTCAATTGCTCACCCGATGTACCCACCAGATGTGAACAATACTCCGCAAGCACGTGTGATCAAACACCGTCACGGTAAATGTGTAGGTCAACAACAGTGATATAAATTTAGAGGAAATACAGAAGACACAACAAAGAAGAGGCTAGGAAACAATGAGAACAAACAATTGGATGGAAAGATTACCATCTAAATGCAAAAAACATCGTCTAGGATAATGTTCTTTAGCACTATGATGACAAGCTTCACGGATACCATGAAGAAAAATGACACGCCTCAACCTGAGTTAGAATTTAGGGTAGTCCCTTCGTGCTTCCTATCAGGCCATTGGTTGGTCGCCCTACGGCTTCAGACAATCTATTATGATGCCGGACATCACAGACAGCAATACATATGCAATTTGAACAAAAACCGTGCAACCATGCAGTCACAATGATCGTTCTAATGACGAATAATGAAATGGCAGAAGTGAAAGGACCAGCCGTGAAACTTCAAAGCGCTAGGCAGTGTTTGGAATCAATATGCCAACGCCCTGACAATATCACAGTAGCAAACGGATGGTCATCGCCGAGACAGTTTCCACGCAGCATGTACGGCCCCGCGTCATAATGAGCCAAAACTTTGTATATGGTTGGCGGCATCCGGTTTCGGATTTGCCTGTCACTGTGGCCAGCCACAGGACACCTGCGCCTACAGAGAGACCATGGAT